CAACATTCCACACACTATGAGATATTAAGATGCAATAATACACAATTAAAACAACAAGAATAACTTCGAAGGTTCTAGTACCATGATGCTATAATACAACAATGGCCAATTCACAACAATTGAACCACACAACTTATGATTCGTAAACAGTTACGTAAACAAACCTGCGATAAATTATCGTTTCAAAAAATAGCTAAATTTAACACTCGCGTTAAAGATAAATTGATGCACTCATGTATATCTAACATAGATGTAGCTTAACTTTGAAGATTTTACATGTAGTTTCCTGCATTTATGAAGAGAGTTAACCCATATTTACCGTACGTATATTAATTAAAATTCGCAATAGATTTGTTTATAGGGAATCTCAAGAGAGTTATAAACTTCAAAACTATATAAACTAGCGCTCATATACCTTTAAGATCAAACGTGAAACATGTGTCAATTAAAACCCCCACCCTACAATTAGTAATTCCCTTACCAGGGTTCCCTGATAGGAAGTTTACGGACTTACAACGCTAAAATCCAATACGGCAGGGTCGCCAAATGTTCCGACCCTGGTCTGTTATAAAAAAAGGCCAATCAGAATTAGAAAGGAAAAAATTCATTTTTTCATACTATAAGAATAACCCCATTATAAAGAAAAATGGAGCATTAATTTGTACAAAACCACAGTACAAAAATTACCATTTTAACATTACACAAACGTAAAAATTACTACACTATATAAACTAAACCAGAAGACATCATGTAAATAAGTACTAAAACCTCTACCTCCAGAGACAAAACAACAACAACAAAAGGTCGGGTTTTTGGTTTGAATTGCGCGCAAAGCTTTAAGAGGGCTATCTACGCTAGCGGTCCCTAATTTAGCAGTGAAAGACTAGAGGGAAGGCAGCTAGTCATCACCACCCACTGCCAACTCTTGCAACAGTAAGACAGAGCAATATGCAAATGATATAAGTGGTAGTGTTACGGCTGGTAGAGCAGTAATGATAATGGGTGTAGAACAAATATGTTTTCCTATTCCATATCTTGCACTAAATGGTGTTTTAAGTTGGAACTCTTAAGCTAATGCGGAAAGACATGTGGCTGGTTTGATATTTGCATTTTATAATTCATTTTCAAGGTGCTTTATTCTACAATAGATGTACTTCTTTTCCCTCAATAATGCTCTTTCTAACTCGTTGACGTCTTTCGTCAACATTCTTTTGTTACTTTTATTTTAACTTTGCCAATGTCCCTTCGTACTTCTCTGACGTCTTCCTGCATTTCTTCTAGTTTGTTGTTGTAATCAACCTGTATGACCCCATAGCTTCAGTCAGATTCATTTTTTTTATCTTAATTCTTCTTAAAATAGTAGGTCTCGTTCTTTTAACTTGTCTCTAAAGTTCCTGTCACGTTCTTCTAATTTTCTGCCCCTCTCGTCCTTTCTTTTAATTTTCTGATTCTTCCTTTAATCTTCTTTATATTTTCTGTCTCATTTTTCCTGATCTTATCTCTTAATATTTTCATCACCTTACGTAGAGCTCGAATCTCTCTACTTGACCTCCTGATCGTCATCTTCAACAGTTGAAGTTCTATTTTAAATATGTTCCCCAAAATAATTACACTTCTGACATAAATTGTTGAGGTGTTGTATCAAATTAGTTTATTTTCTCCTTTAACATTTATATAAGCTTGAACACTATCGTAAATTGTTGTAGGTCTACGCTACAAATGGCGTTAATCTACTCTTGAAACAACTCTTCCGTACTTTATTATCTAGTTTAGAATGTGCGAGATATCAACCCAGAATTTTCTAAGCGTTCTACTCTAGCTAACATACAAATAACAACATTAAAAAATTAGATTACAACAATAAGTATAAACAGAAGTACCTGAAAGTTGCGATGTTTGATTGTTGTAATCGACTTCCTAACAAAGTGTAATAATATATAGTTTTTGCAAATACAGTTATTGGCTGCTTTGTTTGATGTTATTATGATATATTTTTCTGTAAAGTTTATAAATATTTTTATCCTTTTTGATAATTTATTTTTTGGGTAAAAGTATAAGGCGTAACCTTTTTTCAAAGAACTAATTCTGTTATTTCTTATATTTATTCGAACCATTGTGCAAACTTCTTAGGATCTATTTTTTACTCCAAGCTGACATTAAAAGTTTTTGAATCAAAACGTTTTAAGCTAACTTGCATATGTATCTAAAATTTAGTTCCCTTACTCAATAAAAGCCTTAAATCTTCATTTCGAAAAGTTTAAGGTTTCCGTTAATGACATATTGAGTAGGAGTTTAAATTTACAGAGAACTAAAACAATCACAACGTGGAGAAATAATGGTGTTCATTAATACGTATTAACTAATTCAACTTTATTATCATCCCCTGTGGAGATTCCGTTCAAACTGGTTTGAATAAACTATTTTTTTATTGCAAGACATCGTAATGCAACATAATACGAACGGCGACTTTTTATTTGATATACAAGTAATTCCTCTGTTAACCTTAATGATGTTGTAGTCCCATTAATGCTATGTCCTACGCCATGACTACGGAGAATGATGATAGATATTTAGTAGGCTGAGAAAAATAAGGATTAATTGAAATTTTAAGAAACGTTACAATCTCTTTTGAATATCATGCCAAATAGATAAATGACCACAATTTTAATCATCCAGTAATTTCCTTCTAGTTCAGTTCTGTTAACTAGTGGATCATTGCATTTAACATATTCTATTGGTTGAAATAGAAAGTACTCAAAAGTATGGCCAGGATAATTAAAATGGTAGTACAGGGATTGATTACATTTCATTTTGTCCTTTCTTTCTTACACGTCAACTTCGAGAAGTTTACCCCGTATCCAGCACCTTTAATTTTATATACTACATTTTTAGTTCCACAACGAAGTGTTGGCAAATTCTGGTTATGAGCCCGGAAAGTTTCATTTGTAATATAACGTTTGGTCATGCTCTATCTAACGACCGTGCAACTTTGACCATTGCCCTGTTTTGAGCTAATGTCTTCTAGTATTACGTGTTTGGCTAAAGATCCATAGTATCATATATTTTCATCTAAATGTCCAAAACTCCAATCTCTTTTGTTTGTTGCTTTACCTTTGTAAACGGATTAGCAATGTTTATGACCTTGAGACACCTGGGCAACATGGATGTGATTAACAACATGCGTAGGTTTGCAGAAATAAAAAGAAGAAACACTATTCTAGCCTAACTACACTGCTAGTACATCCTGTTTCCAAGGTTACAAAAGTCCTTACGACTTTGAGAGTAAACATAAATTTTAGAACCAGTCATGCGTTCAATATTAGTTTTAAGTGTACAATTGAGTATATAAACAGATCAAATTGTATTTCAAGTACTCTACAATAACTGACTTACAGGTCTTATTTTTGTACCTTTACTTGAAGAGTGACATGAACATGAAACAATAATGAACATAATTTAGCAAAAGTTATGCGTTAACTTTTTTCCCAATTTCTTCTTTCTAGAAACTTATAGAATTAACCATACCTTTATGAACATAATGCAAAACATATTAGAAACGTTTTATTTTAGTACAAATCACAGTTATTCCAGAAGTGAGATGATAAACCATGTATGCTAGATTAAATATCATTGGAGATTGGTAACATTATTGCCCCCCCCCCTCAAACACACACACACATACGATGCATCAAGTTTCCAAAAAACAAACAAAACAGTTTTAGTGATGTAATAAGAGCATGTCTATTCTTCAATGCTTTAAAAATTACCTTTCAATGGTTAGCAGAGAGAAGAACTGACTGTGAAAATTCGTTTCTCAATCTTAACAGTTAGAACTTTCACAATATGCGAGTATTATCAGTGAGGCCAAAATAACGTCGATACAATTAAAACAGACATTTCAAAAGGTTTCTGATTAAAGGCATTTTTTAAATTTTGAACAAAATAAATGACTTTTTTTTTACGGACACAGTTAGATGTTATGGAATAGATTTATAATAGCTCCGTTGTTTTTAAAAATTATCACACTTCTCCAGTAAATTAAATTAAATGCAATTTTTATACACCAATGCACTTAAGTGTTGTTACCACCATAAAAGAAACACAACTTTTACCACATCAAACTTTTTAATTTGCGTCCTTTCAGTTAATTCCTTAGAATATAAGTTTAAAATAATTCTTAATCTTAAAATGTTTACGTAAAATAAGCTAGACACAGACATTTACTTTTTTTTTGAGCCAGACATTTTCTAGATTTGATTCTTCTGTTTTATAGAAGATTATTTTGAAGATAGCTGTAACTTATAAGCTTAAGCAAAACTCTTCGTACACTTTTAGATTTGTTAGAATGTGGCTGATAAATTATGAACCTTTATGTTTTGAAAGTGCAACGTATTTTGGTGACCTTGGTCTTCTTACAGATATATCAGGTTAGCTTATGACAATTCAAATAAAATGTAATTTTCTGTTCAATATATTTTTTTTAACCTAATGATATCTCATATATTGCGGATTAACAATTAAACTTTTAATTAATTGTCTTAATGGCAGTTTTGTTTGTTTGCAACCAAACACAAAGTTACACAATGGACTATCTGCACTATGTCCATCGCTGATACTGAACCCTGATTTTCAGTGTTATAAATCTGCACACTTACCACTGAGCAGCTAGGGACTCCTAATGGCAGTAATAGTTTGTGATTGCACAGTGTGAACTATTTTTTTAAGGATAAACTTGTATCAGTTTATTTTAAATTTGAAAGTTAAAATGACTTAATTTCACCAGAGATTTGACAATCGCTTTAGAATAATTTACCAAATCCAAACAGTGCAATGTTTTAGCTGAAAGAATTGTGGTTTTAAACATGTCTGCTTTAATACAACGTCTCAAATGCAAGTCATCAAATATGAGTTAGTTCGAAGTAAAAAAACTTAACACTCTATTTCATGTGCTATCATACATTAAAAACAATGACACAAAGTTGTCCAACCCAAATCTCATCTGTACTAACAATGGTTAACCTTTTATTAAGAAACAATAATAAAACCCAAAAGATGTTATAATCGAAACAAAAGTAACAATTAAAAAATATAATCAATATATTGTTATAAAGTAAGAAGCTCCTTCATGGTCGAAAGTTTAAGAGTTTTTCTGTGGAATGCACATTGTAACCTGAAAAACAAAATAAAAATATATAAGAAATTGTTTATCAGAACTTTATGATAATCAATAGATCATGATGTAAAGTTTCATGGCATTTGAAATACATGAATTAGCTAGTACAAAAGTCTTCATATAGGAAAAAAATAAAGTATTGTTCTAAAAGGCATTTTTTATCCATTTTTTTAAAACAATTGTACAAAATCCATTAACTAAAATGTATTACTTACAGTTTTGATTTCTGTGTACTCATGGATAGCATCTTCTCCCCTGTATAAGATTTGGAATTTGTTATCAAAAGATTAAATGAAATCAAAAACAACTTAAATATTCTTATTTGTCTCAATATTGTAGTGTGAAACACCTAAACTTCATAATGGTTGGATTTAAAGGAGTGTCACCAAAACAATGTTCTAGTTTAACATAATTTTCAATCTGGTTATGCAAAAAATCCTCATATAACTATTTATGACAGATTTATTGATGTGTGGTGAAACAAATTAAGCAATATAAACCAGTACAATAGCCTGAAAACTAAATATCAAAATTTTTATCTGACATCTAAATATTCATGCCCTCATGAAGAGTTGAGAATATTTTATACAAAATGTATGAACAGAATAGATATTTACACAATTTATGTCAAGAGATACCTATAAAGAAATCTCATTATTTAGTTCTCAGACGTTTTTCTTCAAAGCAAAATTTTGTTTTGGGTGAGGTAAAAAACAAATGTATAAAAAATTATGAACATGAAAAATTTTGGATAAAGAAGTTTTATTATACAAGTCTAAATTAATAACAAGTGCTGTAGATTCTTTTTCTAATAAACTTCCCATAAATAAATACCTTGTACAGTACAAGGAAATCATGCTTTCATAAAATATATACATGTTTTTTGAAAAACAGAACCAAAACTACTTACATTTCTCGACCTTGACCTGACATTTTGAATCCTCCAAAAGGAACTTGTGGACCAGAAGCTAGGTAACAGTTCACCCTAAGATAATAATAATAAAATTATCAAATGCATTATATCAAGTGTGACTAGAGAGATTAAGTATATGAACAGCAAGCATTATCAAAATGTTTTGGGGGGAAAAAAAGATCTGAACTACAGGAGATTATTTTTTAAAAGATTTGCTGATTTATAGATTTTGATTCACAAGTTTTATTCCCAGTTTTTGTTCCATGAGAATCTCCATTAAGTCAAACTACTGTACAAAGGGATGCACACAGATCTACAAACTTATTCATTACAAATTGTTTTTTTTAGGAGACAATTTCATGAATGAGGGTTAAAACTGTGCATGATTATTTCAATATTAAATTTTACAAAAAAATCATTTCTTACCATATGGTTCCAGCTCTGACACCCTGAGTATACAACAAGGCTGTTTCAATGTTGTTAGTAAAAATACCTGCTGCCAAACCATAGTGAGTATTATTAGATCTTTCAATAACTTCATCCAAAGTTTTAAACTTCATTAACTGTTGCACTGGTCCAAATATTTCTTCTTTAGCAATCTTCATGTTGTCAGTAACAGATGAAAAAACAGTTGGCTGAACAAAAAAACCTTTTTTACCAAGGCGTCCACCACCACATTCTATTTTTGCTCCTTCCATTTTACCACACTCAATAAGGTTTAGAATTTTTGTGAACTGATCATGATCAACCTACAAGAAAAATTAAAGCATGTATGCATATATATTGATATATAATAAACATACATAAAACATTTATTCACTACTGTTTTACTTAACTCATTCTCAGTCATGAAATACTATAGTGCATGAAAAACTATGTAGTTTATTGGAAAGCACAACAACCTAATACATTTGTTTATATAATAAATAACATATTAAAAAAACACATTTAAAAAGTAACCTATTATCACATTTTTCATATTAAACTATTAATTCCCTTGACCACAGTTGCAGGGGACTCTGTATCAACATGTCGTTATGCCTAACATACTTGAAAAATATAATGAAGATAACAATGAACATATTTTCCCAATTGATGTGAACTGAATATTAATTTTAGAGTGTTGTACTTCACAGCAAGTATCATAAACATAATTAGATATAATGAATGTTCCAAAATCAACAAAATATAGCCACTGCTCTATTCTATTACAAATATAAGGATAAAAACTATCAATACTAGTGTTTGATCTTCATTCCCAGTAACAATACAACATCCTTACAATAACAGTTAATCACAGATGTAAATGCAGAATCTAAATCTTTTCACATAGCTGTTACATTTAACAGAAAAAAAAGAGTTATTAAGAAGGCTTCAGAAGCATTTACTTTTTTTGAAGCATTATTAATCTTGATTAAAAAATAATTTTGAATCACTTTTCTAGTTTCAAATAAGCTAAAATGAAATTATTATTTGCAACACTAACATGTAAAGATAATATGAAATTCTGCATACCATTCAAGTAACATAGTTCAAAGCTTTCTAAAAGTCAAGCTACTATTTACCACATGCATGTTTTGAGTTTTATGTGAATTGAAGATTACAGTATAATCCTGTTCTGATTACCTATAGAAAACGTGTTAAGAGTAAGCAAACATGCAAATACCTGTGGGCCCTGTTCAGTTTTTTCATCAAAAGGATCACCAACAATTTTCTTCATTGCCCGTTCTCTACTCTTCCTCACAAACTCATCATAAATTTCTTCTTGAATATAAGTACGTGAGCCAGCGCAACAACATTCTCCTTGATTGTAAAAACATCCAATATGAGCCATTTCAACTGCTTTATCCACTGCAATAAAAGATGTTAAAAGATTCACTTTATTACAAATAATATAATATTAAGGTCTTGAGTGTTGCTAGCTGTGAAGAGGATGCTGCTGATCTACAAAAGGATTTAGATCATTTAGTGAGTTTGGGAAATAAATGGCAAATGGGTTTTAATTATAATAAATCCAAGATAATGCATGTGGGTTATCATAATTTGAATTATAAGTATAATTTGGATGGGAATAACCTTAACAGTGTTATGAAGGAAAGGGATCTTGGTGTAATAGTTGATTAGTCTCTAAAGCTATCCAAGCAGTATGTTGTTGTTAGTGGTAGGGCAAAAAGGATTTTAAGTTGTATGTATAGAAATATTGAATACAAGTCTAAAGAGGTTATACTTTCATTGTACAGGTCACTGGTTAGGCCACATTTGGAATATTGTGTTCAGTCTTGGGCTCCTTACCTTAGGAAGGACATTGAATTGTTGGAAAGGGTTCAGAGAACGGTTACTGGAATGGTGCCTTGGATGGAGGGGTTGTCATATGATGAGAGGCTGAAATCTCTCAAATTGTTTTCTTATGAAAAAAGAAGAGTTGGGGGGGAACTGATTGAGGTGTTTAAGATTGTAAAAGGAATTGATAGTGTTGATTCATCATCATTTTTATAACTAACAATGAGAATAGGAGAACTAGAGGACACAAATATAAATTTTGGCAAGGTAGGAGTCATCTTCAGCTAAGACAGTTTTATTATTCTAACAGGATGGTTGGCCTTTGGAATGGGTTGCCTTCAAATGTTGAAAAGTATATGAATGAAAAGAGCTGGGTTTAAAATTATTTTATTTTTGTAATCATTTTAATTTAGTTTTGAGGATGGAACAGCTGAGATGGACCAATAGGTCCCATGTTGTCCCAAAATATTATGTTATGTTATAAATAGAAATCTGTAATAAATACATATTTAATTTAAGGTGAGATGTGATAAATATTTTCTAAATATCCTTAACAAAATGAGGTTCTAGTTTAATTTTATAGCACACAAGCCTTTATAAAGCACCAGATAACCAACTATTCTTTAGGAATTTTTCTCATCTCTTTATATTTTTAAAGTTTCTAAATCTTAAGGTCTACATGAATTATAAGTACAAATTTTCTGGGAGCACACTTAAGAGCACAGACATAACAGTTATTCAAATTATAATAATAATTGAATTATTATGTAAAATAAGCACTTTCTAGCAATACTCACAATCAGCATCTGCAAACACCACCAGGGGACTTTTACCTCCCATCTCAAGAGTAACTCGTTTAGTGTTGCTTCTACCTGCTGCCTGCTGGATTAACTTCCCTACCTAAAAACGAAATAATTAACAAAATAACCGGATTCTTTCCCCATATTATGAACATATTTGAATCATAATTGATTCTTAGGGGACAGTGACAAGTATTTTCTTAAACATTGCTAGATGTTAGTTTAATACCTCTCTCTCTCAATATTTTTGCAACAGATCCTAAACTGTTATACTACAAGATTTTAATATAGCATAACATATACTCACCTCAGTTGAACCAGTAAAGGAAATCTTATCAATATCTGGATGTTCCGAAATAGCTGCTCCAGCAGTTGTTCCATAACCAGGAACAATGTTAACAACACCAGGAGGAAATCCAGCTTCTTTAATTAAACTTCCTGCATAGAGTGCTGTCAACGGAGTCTGTTCAGCAGGTTTTACAACAACTGTATTCCCAGCAGCCAAGCTGGGTCCTAATTTATTGGTCACCATCATGAGAGGAAAATTCCACTATGTTAAGAATATAAGATTCTTATTATATCATTTCATGGTATATATTCAGAAATGAGCAATATATTTTCTATTTAGTGTTTATTTTTAACAAAAATTACAGTTAAGTTTATTGGTACATTTGTGTATCCATCAGCTTCTACCAATTTTAAAATATTATATATATTCTATGGGCTTGAAAGCAATACAAGAGGGAATCCTCAATAGCTGCAGCACTTTGAAATTCTTTGAGGCAGGATTAGAGTAAATTAATCTATGAGACCTTTTTCCTTTTTATTAGCTATATTTTTGTGATCCAGCAATACCAAGAGTGGGGCATGTGTATACCCGATTCAATTTTATTATTCATAACTATAAAGTTACCATTCAGTTGTTCATTACCCCCCCCTCTCAAATTAGTTTTTGACGTGCATGTTTTACAAATTTTTTTGTAAACAAAAGACTATTTACAGACTACAAACCTTTACATTAATTAAACATGTATATAAATGTTAATCAGGTTTTATGAGTTAAAATATATATAACAGAACAACTGCTTACAGGGACAATTAAGCCACAAACTCCTACAGGCTCAATCCTTGTGAAGCTGAAGAGGTTGCCATCTATATATATATATATAAATATCTATATTAAGCAAAAATATAAGTTTGGGTATCAAAATTTCATAGAATATTGAAGTCTATTTAACATTTTAAATAGCTGACATGAAGAAACATGTAAACTTTCAATCACAACAATAATAAAACTTTGTTATCCACAAGGTTTTAAAATGTAGCTTTCTGAAGGAACTTCAGGTCCAAAAAATACAAGGTGTCATCTGGTAAGCATACATAATTGCTGAAGTTACTATTCCACTTTTATTTTTTTAGTTTAGATTTTGAAAGTTATATACAAATAATCATTTAATGAGTTTTATTATATTTTTATAGAAATATTCTTATTCTAGTTATATTTCACCATCTCTTTTTCAATGTTATTTGTAACACTTCTACTGATTGACTTCACCTACCAACTGGTATGGTCTTCCCATGAATCTTATCTGTCCATCCAGCAAAGTATTGAATAGTTTTGATTCCAAATTCAACATCTCCTCTTGCATTTCTAAAAGTCTTCCCACAGTCTATAGTTTCCAGACTCTGGAAATAATAACCAGTAGGTACATAACACATTTGAACGTTTTGAACTGATAAACAAAAATTTAAACATCTTGAGAAAGCATAAAGGTGACTAAACTAATATAAAATAATAATTTCAAAATCAAGTAATTTGTCTTTAATATTATTTCATGATTCTTATCATCCCCACATGACTACATAAAGTAGTCATATCACTACAAAAGTTTAATAGAATATATTTTTGGGGAAAAAAGTGAACAAAATAAAGAAATTGGTATTTAGGATCAAAAGCAGCAGCTGTTTTGCAATTGTCTTACTTTATCAACATGTGGATGTTGTGACTGAAAACTGTAAGTGTGTGGTAGTAGGAAGCAAACATAGCAGAGAAGTAAGAGAATATAGTATGACAAAAAGTGTCTCTGCAGATAGAAGTTTGGATAAGATAATGTAATAAACATTTAAGAGGTCATTCAATCATTAGAACTACAAGCATTTCTTACACACATAGTTTTATGATTTGGTTTAAACTATGCATTTTCTCTTATTCCTCAATTGAGTATATCTTATGTTTAGTTATATACACTGTCCTCCAGTGGATAAGTTTATGGACTTACAATGCTAAAATCTGGGGTTTGGTTCCTCTCAGTGAACAGAGCACAGATAATCTATTATGTAGCTTTGTACTGAAAAATCAACAACAGATACATACAATGTAAGAATGAGAAAAAAGAAACTCCAATTACTAAGAAATTAATAATATAATATATATACTAACAGCTATGTAGTCTTTATCCCGTTCAAGTAAATCAGCAAACTTGTTGAGCAGCTTGCCTCTTTCTGAAGCATCCATAGTTCTCCATGTTGAGCCTAATTTGAAAGCTTCTTTAGCTGCCTTCACTGCTTTGTCAACATCTGCCTGAAAAACAAAGGACATACATAAAATGTTACATCAATCCATTAAATTCTTAGGAAATGTTAGACTCAAAGGTGGATACCTATTATGTTATTAATAAAAGATCTTCAATAAACAATGTTTTAGTAAATTAATGTTTATTCATCATCTTTCCAGGCCCTAAGACATCACCTCTATTGTAACAGCAATATTTATGTAGAAAGAGTAGATTCATGTCAAACTTAGTTCTATAGAATTGAAATTCCATACCTTATCTCCCTCCTGAACATCTGTTATTTTATCACCAGTTGAAGGATTAATTGTTGGAAAGACTTTTCCACTTACAGAATCATGCCATTCATTGTTGATAAAGATCTGTAATTGAAGACAGTTACATAACTTTAACAGTAAAGATTTTATCAATCTATAAATATATTACCATCAAAGAGAACAAGTCCTCCCTTTTATCTATCATAGAAAATTTCAATTCAGATGACCAACACAAATTAATATTTACACACACCCATGATATTCCAAAGCAGCAAGAATTGAATACTTATTCAACAAGAATAAGTATTGAAGTATTTTAATCTCACACATAGGGTTAAAGGGGATCAAAGTTTCCCAAATGCTCCAGTTAGGAAGAGCACACAAACACAAGTTTGCTTTCTCTTCTTTCAAACTAAATTACTGCCACGTTTAGTGTTTTTGTTTTTACTTACTGGCCCTTGCTATAAGGGATTACACATACAAAATAAGAAGGAGGAGGAAACAAAATTGTAAAAAGACCACCACACCTCAAACACACACAGATAGCTCTGACATGAATATCAGAGAAAGCACAGAACAAGAGGAAGAACACATAGAAACACACAAACTATACATGCACAACATAAAGAAGCACACGAGAACATACAAGCACAACAACTGAAACAAAAAGAAAAAAACACAGAAACATACAAACTATACATGCACAACATAAAGAAGCACACGAGAACATACAAGCACAACAACTGAAACAAAAAGAAAAAAAAAGAAAATAAACAACTACACCCACAAGAAAGTCTGGAAGCAAATGAAGATACAAATGACTTCATACTAGTAAAACCTAAGAAACAAAGAAAGCTAACGCCACAAAAAACAAACACGATCACACAAAGAAATACTACAAACACACACACAAACCTCCATGGTTTTCCATAATCATCCAAGGGCAGCGTCCTCGTTAAAAGGACAGAGGCCACTGACCTCAATTGACTCTGAAAAGAATGGCTCCAAGATGCTTTCACACCAGGAAATATAACAATGCACATATCAGGAACTAAATCCAACCCTAAATCTTTTGTCATAAAAGATTTACAGACAGGTATCACAAGTGAAGACATAAAATCTGAACTCACACATAAACACATACAACATACCAAGGTGGAACAAATTTTTTCCAACGGAACCCAGAGACTCATCAACTTAGTCAGAGTACATGTACACGAATCACAAGATATTCAGACGTGATATCAGATGGCACCATTCTCTGGTATCAAAAACACACAGTTGAACCCACAAATACACCAGCGGTAGTTACACCTGCCAACATTATGGACATGCAAAGCCCTCCCACACTGTGCAGGATGTGGGGGAAACACAGAAATGCAGACTGCCTGAGAGTGAACACACAACCACATTGCTGTAACTCTCAACAGCAACACACGGCAAACTATAAAGGATGCCAAAAATATAAGAACATCAAAACACGCAAAATAACAAGAGCACTCCAGACACACACACACAGAACCAGGAAGCAAACAGAACACAAAGAAGAACACATTTATTACCAACACTCAAACTTAAAGAGAACATAAACACAAATCAACAATCTACAACACATATACATATGCACAGGCAGCACGTACACTCACTCAAACTCACGATACACCCAAAGAAAAGAAGAATACACAACACATAAATGTTGTAACACAACAAAATGAAACCATAAGCAAAATAACACAGAGCTAAAACATTTTCTTTGAATTCTTAACACAATACAGAAACCCCCAAAACCAAGATGACAGCATCACACAAATAATTAAACTCGCAATTGAACACATTACACCCCTTCTCCCACAGATCATACAATTACTCATTATTCCTCATACATCTTTAGACCTTCATCATGTGGAAAAGTCAATAGTACAATACTCTGAAAATGTTTGCAAAAATAGGTAGTATCACTGAAACAAATCTGTAGAGAAAAAATATTATTTGATTATCAACTTAAGCAATAGAAATGATAGGATCACCAAGATTTATGGGTTTTTTTGAGCAGGTAAAATCTCCCTAGGCAAATTTGTTTGGGTTGTTACGTCTCCGTTCGTTAGTTAATTTTCCGTAACTTCGTTCCGACGAAACTTTAGCGACACAAATCCTTTCTAAAATAAAACTGGTTTATTCTTTCCGAATACAACTTTACGATACACTTAATTTCAACAGTCGTTCTATAACAAACGTCTCACGTGCTCGACTTCAACGATACTCAATTCAATTACACACTCTCTGACTGCAGTTCAATTACTCACTGCCCTCTTGTTCTGTCACGTTGTGAACGTCTTATATATACAAGACTAACACATATCTAGTAGTCTCTTGATAATTCATGAAGGTTGGAGAAAGACGTGGCTTGATACTAGTCACGTGACCTCGCTGACGCAACACTGCCCCTCCTAGTATTGTTCGTCCCGAACAATAGCCACTTGCAATAAACCAATAACAATTAACAATAACTTAATTAAATGTACATAATTACAAACACAAAATTACAATTCAACAAAGCCTCTTAATTTTACGGGACGTATCTTCTTCCATACTGGTCTCTGTCTCGTTGGCTTCTGATTCACGTGGGGCTAATCTGCTTCATCAGGAAATGTCCTATCGTCGGTAACAGTCACATCAGTGGTAGTAATTTCATCAAGAGCTTCACCATTTCCCTTCTCAAAACTGAGTAGAGTTTCTTCTTTGT